TGTGGCATTGCCCTGTTTTTGAGTTATTTGATTCTGAACTTCATAGTATGTACATTTGTCATCAGGTTAAAAAAGCCACAGAGAGGATTGATCAGCTACAAGATAAGTTACCCAGAAGTTCAGCAGAGAAAGCCTCCAAAGCAGAACTTGTTGCTCTCCTTGAAGACCACGACACTTCCCTGTTGGAGCTGGAGAAGCAGCAGGCAGCCCTCGGCGTGCTGTGGCAACAAGTGTTGAGTGTGCTTCAGGATGGAACTAGCCCGGTGGCACCAGGAGAAGAGCCACTCATCATGCAGGAAATCACAGCAATGCAAGGCCGCTGCCTAAAGTAATCACACACCTCCTCTCTGTTACTGAAGGTGGCCATGATCAAAGGGACAAGTGTGGTACCAGGGCGTGGGGGCTCCATCCTCTGGGGGTCTGTTGCCATCATCTTTGCTTTTCATTCCCTTAGCTCTTCCATCATTCTTTGACAAACACATACCTGGTAGTACTTACAAATACACTGGTGAGCTAAACCCAAAGTCTCTACCTTCATGTAGCTTACAGTCAAAGAGCAGAGATAGACAAGTAAGCCATTGGGTAGAGCGTGAAAAGGGGCTTATAGGAATACAAAGCAGAGACAACTAAATTAGGAGAAGAACCAAAGAAGTGGCCACTTCAGAAGAGAGGTTGAAGCTGAAGACTGAGCAGCATTTACCTAGACAGTGAGGAGAGTAGACAGTTTTCCAAACAGGGAACTAGCACACAAAGAGGCCAGGAAGTAAGCATGTTGCCTGCAAAGAACTGTTGAGTGGGGGAGTAGAGAGAGGTGGTTCATGAGAAGTGAAGCTAGAAAAATAAGTGGTTGAGAATCCAGTTTTGCTGAAGTTTGATAACTTACTGGCCATGTGGAGTGACAGGGAGATAGGAGCAAGGATGCTGCCAAAATCCACGTATATAAGAGTTGTTTCTTTAGTAGAGAGTAGGCCTTGGACAATGCAAATGGTAAGTAAGTAAGTAGTCACTGGCTGTTAACCAAAAGGTAGGAGGTGTGAATCCAAGTCTACTCATGGGTGCCTTGGAAGAAAGGCCTGATGATCTACTTTCAAAACCTCAGCCACCAAAATCCTATGAAGTACAGTTCTACTCTGACACACATGGGTCACCATGAGTCAGTGTTGTCTCAACAGCAACTGGTAATTGGTAAGGAACTTAGTAGAAAGAGAAAGTTAGTCCTACTGATAAGTAATCATCCTGATGCACTTTCTGGGCTTGAGAAGAAATGTCATTACATAATTTAATACCTGTATTCA